AATAGTAACAGCAGAGGTTAAAGGAATTGTTTAGATTTTTTTCTTCCTAGCTTCTGAAACTCTTTTGATAATCAGTGGGATCCTCATGGCAGTTCAAGGCAGAGAAACCCTCATCTGGTTTTTCTGGCTTTGCCACTGTGGTTTCAGGGTTTTGGAGACTCCACCGCGTAAAGAAGAAACCACTGTGCTTGCTCTCCCTCCCGCGTTCCACAACGGGTCACGGAGAACCACCTTGGGCTTGGCTGATGGCTTCTGGAAGCTGAGTGCACAGCCTTGGAAGGAGGCCCTTCCTGTGGCCATACACTTCAGAGACAGAAGCATGTGGGAAAAGAAAAACTTCCTGGTCAATTTGGTCAGCCTGTGGGTCTCTGATGATAGACATCTGGGTTAATACCTTGTGAACTTGAACCCAAATTGAGTGTTTAGCGAAAGCAGTGTATTCTTAAGAATTCTTATTATCCCAGAACAAAGATTAATGTGAAAGGGTTACTTTTATGTTGCCAACCTCCCGTTCACTCGTTGCCACCTGTAGCTTGCTACATTCACCCACCCACACCTCCTTTCCCTTTGTAATCGGCTTTTGGAGAAGGTTTAGAATACAGCTAAAGTAAAACAAGTGAATCACATACACAGAAGCTCATTTCTTCTGGGTCAACCTTTCCTCAGGCCAGGGTTTCTGGGAGGGACGAGCTCCTTCTAATCCTGGTCCCTTTGTAGGCCCTCCAGCCTGCAGCTGAGCACTGCAGCCTACAGCTGGGCAGAGACACTGAGCTTCTGGCACAAAGGTGCGACTGTAGGGTTTTATGTCACAACACAGTTAATGAGAAATTGAGAAAGGCATAGGGAAGGGACCCCCAAAAAAGCTAATACAGGTGTATTAATAAGTCAACTACCACAGCAGGTAATTAAAGCTTAATTCCTGTGGAAAATCTATCAAAAACATTATGACACATGCCTCAGAATGACCCTGCTCAAGGAATAAGGGAGCGATATTTTTATACACCAACCTCTATCACTTGTGAGCTACTTCTGGGGAGCGCTGATTTTATGGTACTTTTGGCCTGTTGTGGCCAGAAAAAGTCATCAGGCACAGAGGTGTAGACATTAGCCTTCTTAAAAAATTATTTTATTGATTTGTTTTTGTTACAGATCTTTCTCCTTTTTCCCCCATTGATACCCTCCTTCCCATCCTCCCCACCTCTTCTCCAGCTTTGTTGTCAAACATTAGCCCGGCTGGTGTGGCTCAGTGGCTGATCGTGGACCCATGCACCAAGAGGTCGTGGGTTTGATTTCCGGTCAGGGAACAAGCCCAGGTTGTGGGCCAAATCCCCAGAAGGGGGCATGCAGGAGGAAGCCAATTGATGTTCTCTCTCATTGATGTTTCTATCTCTCTCTCCTTCTCCCTTCCTTTCTCTCTTAAAAAAAAATCAATAAAGGGGAAAAAAAGTTGTCTGGGTCCCTCTGAAAAAAAGACCCATAGGCAATGGCGATGTTCTGTTCTAGGACACCTGCCAAGCTGGTTCTCATTGGCTAAGACCTTCCCAGTCACTGTATGAATGCTGACTGTACAGTCAGGACTGTGATGGATTTTCACAAAAGTTTTAGGATAAAATATATGTATTCAACAGCATTAGTGGAACCAGCATTGTATGAAGAAGCAGTAAATGAGGCATTATATAACCCTACAGGTTTAGATATCTTTCCATTGATGCTATTAAATATAAACTGCAGGTTATATAACTCCATTTAAGGGTTCAATATAGCCCTATTTTTGTGTTAAAAACACACAGAAAATTGATGCATAAAGAATCAATAAGGATATAAGATAAATTGTAATTAATTGCTGTTTTTAGGGAAGTGGGGTTGCAAGTTCACTTTCATCTTTTTCTTATCTATTTGCTGATTTCTTATAAGTATGGATTACTTCACATAATAAGAGTGACCAGATTAAAAAATATTCCATACAATCTCAAGATTCAAGAACAATTCTAGCACTTTCCTAAACCTTCCCTTCTCCACTCCCCCCATTTCTCCTTCATACCCTCCCTCCAATGCTTCAAAACAGTGACCTTGCTTAGCTGCAGGAAGTGGGACACGTCACTACTCTCCCACATGGGAGAAAATGAAGAATTGGGCACAAAAGGCTTTGAGCAGCCAAGAGAGATGTCCCCATATCCATGAACTAAAAGTCTTCCATTTTGCTCACAGACTAGCATTTAGGACTTGTTTATGTATACTTTGCACAGAATTATAACATTGATATCTGAGTTCAAGTTCACATTTAGAAATGGCAGTTCAAAGATTAGACAGGGCCACCTGCTGGCATGGCTCAGTGGTTGAGCGCCCACCCATGCACCAAGAGGTCGCTGGTTCGATTCCCGGTCAGGGCACATGCCCAGGTTGTGGGCCCAATCCCCAGTGGGGGGCATGCAGGAGGCGTCCAATTGATATTCTCGCTCATCAATGTTTCTATCTCTCCCCCTCTCCCTTCCTCTTTCTCTAAAATCAATAAAGAAAAAAAGAAAAGAGAAGACGGCCTGCAGGGGCAGACACAGAGGAGGCGGGAGAAGTGGCTGAGCTGACAAGCGAGGGGCACCACTCTGGACAAGGTGCCACGTGCGGCCACTCCGGGTTCCTTCCCCCTCCTCACCGAGTCTGGAAGACATCAGTTTCCAAACCCAAAGCAAAATCACAGTGATGACCGTGAGGAATACAGAACAGACTTAATTATACTCAGGAGAACCAAGCATCCAATGTTCAGGACTCAGAAAGAAATAGAATATAGGCATGCAGTTAAGATCCTCCACATTTAAAGTGGGCATCTTAAAATACAGCCTCAGAATCTTGCTAGCATAAGCCAGACTAGGACATGAGGTTATTTTCTTATCTGCTTCTACCTTTTCTACTTTTGTGTGAAATGAAGTTGATTTTTTGCCAGTATCCTCTGGTTACAGTATCTGCTCATTCACAGCTGATTTTATAATGAAGGAACTTACACATTTTTGCCTCATGATTCTGAATATCACTTTTCTTCCTCTCCCTGGTTTCACAATATTCCTTAAATTAAAAAGAAAAGAAACTGGAGAATAAAGTCTTAACAAAATGTTATGGGGCCATGCTCCTTTATACTGACCAGTTTTTAAGCTCTTCATAAAAGGGGTTTTAACAAGCCCAAACTTTTAAATATGAATGGAATAGAGTCAAAGGAGATGAAAGACACGGCATTCCTGGTGAAATAGGTCAGATGATTTTCAGACTCCAAAGTGTCCTGATAGTTTTATGTGATCCAGTCCAGTTCCTGAAAAACCCTGCCAACAGGTAACAGGTCTTTGAAAGCTTTTGAAGCCAAAGGCTCCCCACCAGCCAGCCCATCTCTCACTAAGTTCTCAGCCTCATTAAGAATGAGAAACAGATACCACGGCACCAACCTGTCTAGAGAACACAGCGAGACAAATGTAATTGCCTGTACGAGGAATATAAGTCAGCGACTCCCAAATCATTCATATTTACACCCACTCCATTTTGGTTGTCTTTCCTTTATAATTTGGCCATACATCCATGTCAAGTGTATAATTTCATCTGGGGCTTTATCAGTTACCGCCCAGAGCCATGATTACATGGTGCAGGGCACCTCCTCCCCTGAGCAAGGCTATCTTTAGTATCTTCTTGATAGCCACTTCGTACATGGAAAATCAAAAGGAAAGTCTTGGTTTTCTTACGTGGCTCCAGAATCACTAAATATAACATTTAGAAGCAAGTTATCAACTGTAACCATTGAGTTTCCAACTGCCAGCACCATTTCCACAACGTTCGTGTTCCTTCCCTTTGTTATTTTTATCAAATTGGAACAAGAATTTTAAGGATTGCTATATTGACCATTCAATCACATATGAAGCTTTTACCTTGCTAGTGTGTACAAACATAAGACTGAATTTGGAACAACCAGAGTCACAGCAAGAAGGCTAACGGTATAATTTTTGGAAGAAGTAACTTTTTACAAACAAAATTTTAAAAAATGGCTCACCAACTCAGGATTCAAAAGATAATTTATTAGTTTGAGAAGAGGAGTCACACACTATACCCAGTAATATGCTTCTTTTATTTTTGTGCCTTTACCTTAAAAATATATTTAAACAAGGAACAAAGATAATATTGAATTTTCCCATAAATTTTGCTTTCTTATTTACAGCGTTACATTGTAAATAACATTCCATTATACACAAATTAAGGACTGTGCATTGCTGTATGTTTTTTTTTTTTACATATCCTTTCATAATACAGTACATACAGCTCGAAGCTATGCAATATTTAAATTTAGAAAGGCATGAGGGAGGAAGTACAAACTTTATCAATAAGACTACTTTTAAAAAGGTTCTGACCTTAATTCTCTGCTAGATTGTTTCACTGAAACCATTCTTTGTTAAAGAAAAATGCCCCATATGAGGGATGAGAATAACAGTTTAAGTTACTGTAGGGTTCACTTAAACTGGTTAACAAATAAAAACACTTTATTACTTATTATTCTTATTAAATGGAGCACTACCACTGTCAAATCATTTCAATAAACTGATTTACTCTTCAATTCAGACACATTACATCAACGACAGTTGGTACCTCTTTATGAAATAAAAAAAATGTTTCCTGCAACTTTAGGTTGACTTGTAAACAGTTAAAGCACACATTTTGTAAAGATGATTGACTCATTTCTGGTCTTAGGTTCCACAATACAGAGGAGCTTCTATTTCATCAAGGGAGAAGCAAGCACTCTCTCTCTCTCTCTCTCTTTCTCTCTCTCTTTCTCTCTCTCTCTCTCTCTCTCGCATTCGGTCCACCAGCCCACCAGCGGCCTGCAGGTCACTAAGCACTAACTGCAGTTGCACTAGTGTCCCCAGTGGGGCAAGAGGCTGCAGTAGGAATTATAAAATGAAGACGACAGAACATCCAACTTCAGTTAAAAACACAGGAAAGCTCAGGTTCTAAAATGCCTCCCAGGTGCTTCATGCTCTGCCTGAGGTTCAGTTCACTGGGCTCTCCAGGCGGCAAACCCCACCTTCGATTGCCACGGACTGTCCTGCCACGGCGCCGGGAGGGAGTCTGGAAATGTGAGTCTGCAGAGGGAGAGAGGAGAGTGTTAGAGATGCCAGCTGTGTCCCTCATGTGTGACAAAGGTGGAGGCAATGCCAGAGTCGGGGCTTCTTTGCTTCTGAGCATCCACAGGCTGTGATGACGGTGACCTCCGGGTGCCCAGAGATCCTTCCCGTTCCATCTCTCAGGGAATGTTGGCTGAGCATCTCTATGTGCTAAGCACAGCACTGGCAACTGGAGATACACAGTGAGCGAGACGGCCAAGGCCCTGACAGCACAAAACTTACACTTTAGTCACACTCAGAATGCTTTCATTGTTGACACTGTTAACAGATGTCCTCCATTCCCCCCGTCCTTTGCCCACCTCCACTCGGCCCCCAAGAACAGTAGTGGTTTTAATGCCAACTATAATGATCATATTCCAGTTCTATCAAAACTAATAATTTATATACATTTTGTCCTCTGAACATTCAGAGCAACTACAATTACCTGGCTCATGTTTACACTTCCAATTTATTGCTTAAAGGATCTGAAAAGCTTATAAAAATTTAGGTAATTCAACAACCACAAGTAAGTGAAGCAATGGTAAAGGACAAAAATGAGACCTTACAACGTAAGGTGAAGACTGGCACGAGGCTGGCAACTAGCCTGAGTGTGGACCTGCGCTAGAGGCAGACGGCTGCCTGCCTCCGCTTCCCTGCGGCCACGATGAGGTGGTTCACGTGGTGACCAGGATCACAACCAACCAAGTGCTCAGAAAACAGCCACTCCTGGCACCAAGGACAGGGAGCCATTTCTTTGTAGGGCTTCAGATATCGTCAGTGCCATGCACAGTGGATCGGCTATGCATCAATGAGCTTTGTAGGGCTGAGTGTTACAAACTACTCAGAGGAAGGAGGCTGGCCTTGAGTGGATGTCAGTACGCTGTTTCTCGAGCGGTTAGGAGGACGTCAGCCAGGAATTCCTTTTTTGATGGTCCTGCCTAATCCAGGGATAGATAACTGTCGGGAGTTCTTAAGAACAGAAGGGCTGCATACCCTGTCGGTAATCCTCCCTAATTCTGTTTCTCTAAACAAGCTTTTCCTGAGAACTGAAGTGAGGTGAGCTCAAGCCCTGGGTGGGGTTGTTACATGCAGCTGGTGAGGTGGCCAAGCTTTGGGTGGGTCTGACGTCCTCTCATGCAACCAAACACACATTAGATGGAATGACAGTAACATGTTTGGTTTTTAGTTGAGGGTGGGCACTATTCTTCAGTCTCACTATGCAAGCACTATTAGAGTAGCTGATATAAGTGAACAACTTGGAAACTTCTGGAGAACAGGTGCTTGGTTTTTGTGTGTACAAGGTAGAAAGCAACCTGTAACCTTCAGGGGTGAGTTCTGTTGACTTTGGGGTGGAGAGCTGGATGAGGCAATCTCTGTGGTATCTTCTGGTATCAGTGAGTTTATCCTCTAGGCTCATGCTCCTGGGAACTATGTCACAGAATCTGGCCTCATTGTCATGTCAGAGGGCCAAACTTGGGTCTCACTGCTTGGATATTCTACAGCTAAGAAGTCCACAGTAAGACAAATGCGAGCCTTCTGTTTCTTGTGACCTTCATCAATCTTGTGGGGGGAGTTAGAAGAGCATACTGTTTGGTTCTGCTGTCTAACAGCCCTTGTAACATTGGGCACAGAAAGCTCAAATCCCATAATCCCCAAGGCTCAGTGTTGATGGGGCCACTTTTACATTTTAGGACTCTATTAAGATGAGGTAAAAGAGAATTTTTTGCCCAGGAATCATTCACCAATTTTATTACGGGTTCTCCTAAACAAAAAAGATCCCTGAGAGAAGCCCTTCAGTCCATTTCATCCCTAATGTCACCCTTTTCGTTTTGTTTTGTTTTTATCCTCACCCGAGGATATTTTTCCATTTTTTTGTACAGATAGAGTGGGAGGGAGAGAGAGAGAGAGAGAGAGAAACATCGACGTGAAGGGACACATCGAGTGGCTGCCACCCGCACGACCAACCAGGGCCGGGGACAAACTGCAACCGAAGTATGTGCCCTTAGCAGGAACCGAACCCGGGTCTCTCCGGACCGCAGGCCAACACTCTAACCGCTGAGCCAAACTGGCCAGGGCCCTAATGTCACCCTTTTCAATCATGAACACAGGATGCAGCTAGGACAGGGGTCAGGAATAAAGCAGAACCTCTATAGAAAACAGTATGGTGATTCCTTAAAAATTAAAGAGAATTATCATATGATATAACACTTCCACCTCTGACTATATACCCAACACTAGTGAAAGCAGGGAATCAAAAATGTATTTATATGCCCATGTTCACAGCAGCATCATTCACAATAGCCAAAAGGTAGAAGCTACCCAGGTGTCCATCAATGTATGAAGAGATAAACAAAATGTGCCACATGCTTACAATGCAATATTATCCAACTTGATAAAGGAGTGACAATCAACACATGCTACAATATGGATACAATTTGAAGACATTATGCTAAATGAGTAAATGAAACAAAAGGACAAACATTGTATGATTCCACTTATACGAGGTACCTAGTAATCAAATTCAGAGACAGAAAGCAGAATGCCAGCAGCCAAGGTGGGTAGAGATGAGGAGTCATTGCTTAGTGGGTCCAGCCTTAGGGAAGATGAACCAGTTCTGGAGACAGATGCCTGAACAACAGTATGAACAGACTAAATGCCACTGAATTGTACACTCAGAAATGGTTAGAATGGCATTTATGTCTTGTACATTTTACCACAATTATTTTTTTGAGAGTGAGAGAGAGAGAGAGAGAGAGAGAGAGAGAGAAACACTGATGAGAGAGAGCAATTGATAACTTGCCTCCCAAACGCACCCTGCCCAGGGATTGAACCCTCAACCTAGGTACGTGCCCTAACTGGGAATCAAACCCATTCCTTTTGGTGTATGGGACAACGCTCCACTCAACTGAGCCACCCAGCCAGGGCTGTCACAAACTTTTTTTTTTAAAGTAAAAAGCAGAAATGACACTTTCCTACTTGGTGCAGAATAGTTCTACATAAGATGGCATTAAGAGGGTCAGCTGGGAATGAATCTATAATGCACACCCACTGGCGAAACACTGACATCATCAGGTCCTGTTAAAAAATATGTTGGAATTTTTCAATCAGGTTAGTTAAATTATATGTCCCTAAAAGAGAAGCTCACAGGAAAATCCATCCTCATGTTTCCCAAAGATCCAGGTACAATCCAGGCAACAGAGGGGCCAGAACACAAATTGTTAAAAGATCAAATAGTGACAACATGTCCAAGCAGATGGCCCACAACCTGACCAGAGGGAAGTCAGTCTTAAAGCAACTGATTTCCTGCTGACCACGGAAAAGATCCAGAACTAGAAGAAGAAATTCATGTCCCATGAACCAGAGGACTTGATAGAAACCTCTTGAGACTTATAAAAACACAGACGGCCAATCCTAACTTATCTCTAACACTTCCAACCTCCATTAAGTGTACAGTAGAAGAACATCTAATAAACTGAACTAAGTCGCAGAGTGTCAAAGACAGTTAGGGAGGAAAAGGAAAAAGAATGGAAAACTAAGACAGTGGTCTTGAGATATTAACAGTGTCTGGGCAAAAATACTTCAAAAATACAATGAGATTTGCCTGGCTGGTGTGGCTCAGTGGCTGAGCATCAACCCATGCACCAAGAGGTCACTGGTTTGATTCCCGGTCAGGGCACATGCCCAGGTTGTGGGCCCAATACCCAGTGAGAGCATTCAGGAGGCGGCCAATCGATGTTCTCTCTCATCAATGTTTCTATCTCTCTCTCCCTCTCTCTATAGAATCAATAAAGATAAAGAAAAAAAAATACATTGAGATTTGTGTACACTGAGCTGTTTACATAAGACAAAAATGTTCAACTAGACAAACTAGTTGTTAGATTAACTTCTCAAGATTACCCCTCCCTAAATCAAGGGGTATTTTATGATTACAAAACACATTGGCATAATCTTGGTTTTGAGAGGAATAAAATGGTCAACCATTTAAATCTTAATACTTCAGCGGTTTCATCCATCAACATGATCTTCTGACTCATCAAAAAATAAGTGACCTTGGTCTGAAAAAGTTTGAGCCTTTCTGCGGAGATGTCAATGGAACATCAAATTACATTATAAACAATGGAGGCTGTTTCACAGAATATTTTATATGAGTGTTTATCTCTAAAAGTTCTTTTAGAGAAGTGGGTTTGAATTCCTCCTGAGGCTAAAAGTAAACCACTTTCTACAATGAACGTGTATGTCAGCATTTAAAAGTGCAACAAATATTTTATGTTGTCTAAGTCCTGTGCAGACTCTAGGGTATCCTATAAACATAAAAACTTAAATGGTGTCGTTAAAACCATTTAAATAGCAATGTACTTTCATTGGAATTTACATGAAAACAATACATAAAAAGTAGCAGACTATCTATGATTTCAGGTCTCTAATATCCTTTTTGGTTCATTCTTAAGGAAACACTTCCTTGGTTGGATCCCTACCTAGTCTAGAAACTCATTTTAGTTCCTAGAACACTCATCTGAGCATGCAATGCAGCTGTCCTGATTTTAGTTTAAATTTTAGGTATCTATAATTAAAAGTCAGTGGGAGGCAGGAGCTTGCCTTACACACCTATGTATTCCTGGGAATTGTCACGGTGCTTGACACAAATGCTCACTGAGTGGATAAATGACAAAAATATATCTTCCAAGGCTATGTTTATGAACACACAAAGAATCTCAAGTGTTTTACCTAGTGTGACCAGTTTGGTTAAAAAGTCAATCAAACTAGTTTATTATAGTAAAGATTTTTTTTTTCTTTTTAAGAACTGTATTTCATTTTATTTTTTTCCATCACCATTTATTCCCTCTATGCTTTCTTCCACCTCTTCCCACACCCTCCCCCCACAATCACCACACTGCTGTCCAGGTCCATGAGTTCTCTTTTTTTGCTTAGTCCCTGAATCCCCCACAAAAACCCCCACCACCAGAGCTGTCTGCCTACTC